AAGAATGCGAAAAGTCACCAATTACTAGGGAACATTCCTTAATTGCAGACACACTGACAACAGTCTGGCTGCTGAAATGTTTATTCACTTGTCTTTGTAATGATTTTATTTTTCCTCCCTTGAGATCTTGTTTTTGTTTTCCCATCTATTTAAGTCACGTGTGATACCAGAGTTGTGAGCAAAGAGTGACAGAAGAGAAGAGATGGAAAAGGCTTCCGCTGATGTCAGCTCCTGTAGAGGGTAAAAGATGAGTGAAGACACTCAGACTGAAGGCAAGACTCCATTTAAAGGTTGAAGAGTGCGACACACACTCAGTGGCGTGTCAATTATTGGTACAGTTTTAGTTTTCTGCCACTGGTAACTAGGTCTGGGAATCAGGAACAGGCTCTCGATGGTCCAATCCCTTGATTTCGTTATGTTGCTTGTTTTACGATTCCACAGATGCATTTGTCTGAACAAATTTGCACAATGACATCACACTCTGCCACTGCTGCCCTTTTTGTGTTTATAACATGGTGCAAAGTCAGACATTGTCATTCACAAAAATTTCAAAGACATGCAAAACTTTGACCATGAAAACGCAAAGAAATACCTACAGCATGCAAAAGACGTTTAGCCACACACCTTGTAATTAATTTCCTGTTGATAAGCCAATGTTAAAAATGGCATAGGCTTAAAGTTTTCTCAATCTTTCTTCACTACAGTGTATGAATAATGTCCATCCTCAGGGTGAAGTTGTCATCAGATTTATCAAATTACCACTACAAAATGAATGAACATGAAAATGGTGTGTTCCAAAAAACACTAACAGTGGCTAACTTTTAGCTATTTCTAGGATGTTTATTGTAAAGGTTCGGGGTGTGGCTAATATTTGGCTCTTTTCTTGCTACAGGTTCGGGGTGTCCTATGGCTAATATTTGGCTCTTTTCTTGCTAATCTTCAGCTTCTTGTTTTGTCTTTGTCCATATTTAGTTACCTTGGCTGTAAGTCAGCCTAATATTTGCCATCATGAAAATCATTTGGCAGTCTTCAGCTAATTCTTTACTAAGCTTCACATATTTGCCCCCATAGCCATCAAAAGCTAAAAACCTGTGATATTTGAATTATCCATTACATTGACATTATAGGACAGATGACATGAGAGATGCTTTACAGAACTGAACTATATGTTTTAGGAGGGCATTAAAATGCCCCCAAATTTTCACAGTTCTGTTTTTCCACCACCTTAGACACATGGACCATGGAGAGGAGGCAGTTTTCAGCAGATGTCATGTTTCTGTAAATGACTTGCATGATTTTTCAGAGGATTTTTTTCAGTTTATTCATTTAAGTGCAGTTTTATATAAAAGTTCCCTGGGTTAAATGTTATCAAGCCCCCTGACTCTTGCCAGACGGTGCCCTCCTACTCTCCTACTTTGTCAGATTTTTTTTTTTTTTTACCTCCTTTTGTGTTAAAGGCTGTCACTTTCTAATTTGCTGATTTACGGGTTGGAGCAATTAATTAATATTTTTGCCTCTTGTGGGTGTAGGTCGATGACCCCCAGGAGGCGGCGTGTGTGCATGGGCGTGACTCATCGCCCCTCCCCTTAATGTCCCACCTTCCATTAGCCTGTGCTTTCAGAGGCGAGGCTCTCATGCATAATGCAGAGGGAACAGGGAGGCTCTCATTAATAATTACTGCCGCCTTTGATGGATGGAGAAAATAACGATGGGGGCTGTTAAAAATGGAGCGACAGGGATGTAGGCAAAGGGGAGAGAGTTTTTGGATGGTTGCTGTTGTCGTCCTTTGCGCATTGTATACTTATGAAGGAAAATTCAGTGCTTGTGTTAAAAATCAAAAGCAACATTAGTGTTGTGGATGGTGTGAATATTTTGATAATAAATCGTGTGATGCTGAAGGATCCTTTAAACTGAGAGGCAGTGGTTTGGAAACAAGCAGTTATCTTTTGTCTTCTGATTGGGATATTTCACATCTTAAAAGTGCGTCTCTGTCATGTTAAAAAAAATCACTGCTTTTTTTTCCATGATATTATAGCTCTGACTTCTCATTGCCATCTGAAAGATTAATTATTTTGCAGTAAAGTGGATTTAATCAAATTAAAGAAGGGAAAATCATTAGTTTGATAGATGACAAGTTCTGTAATAATCATAATTATTATGCATAATTTGTGAGTGTGTAATTTTGCTTGGGTGTGTAAACGTGTTTGTATGTGTGTGTTTGTGTGTTGGGAACCTTGAGGTCAGCAGCAGGTAAGGTCAGAGGGAACAGCACAGCTACACCTGCTATCTAGCCAATGGCAGTAAAGGCTCTGGTAAACAGCCAATGGTGGAGTGGCTTGTTGGCCTTTGATGGAGTCGGCCACCATTAGCCTCTTCACTGAACAACAGCGCTGGGAGCAAAGATGGCCTATATCCAGCACTGCAGAGATGGAGGAAGGGAGGGAGGATTTAGAGGTGGAGGCACGAATGAAAGAGTTGATTAATTTAAATGAGGGAATATTTGTTAAAAAAAAAGAACACATTTGTCACAAACAGATACGACAAATATGTTCTAAATTCTAGGGAAAACTCTACTAAAAATATGCAGCATTTGTGAACAACAGCTTGTGTCCCTGTTCCATTTCCCAATGGTGTGCAACAAACTCCAAATATTTGAATATTCTTGATTATCAGTTGAATGTGCGGGTACATTATTGTTGATTTGATATGAATGTCACAATGTATGAGTTAGTGGTTAGTTACAACAGGACAGGCTGAGATGATGCTGCAGTGGGTGGTTTACACTGCAAATACACAATAAATCTTAGATTTAAATTCCAAATTCCAAACATGACTTTACACTGGTGTCTTGTATGGAACTTGTTTCATGTTGCATAACCTTTGAAATCTTATTTTGAGAGATTAAAAGCCAACAAGAATTGTCTTTTTGTTTCAGTATTTTAATTTTAATAGTTACACTGCATTTGAAAACAAGAGTAAAACAACATTCTCGGTTTAAGATGAGAAGCTCTCTTTTGTTTTCTTTCTGTCAGCACTCAGTGACCGCAAGTAACAGGGACATGTATTAAAGGGTTCTCCTTGAATGTTTTTTGTCCCCCTTTTCTTTGGATTATTTTTCTGTTTTTATTCAATGTCAGCTTCTATACTGATTGGTCGACTGGTTCCTTTACTGTCATTTTATGCCTCAAATAAAAAGGTTGACGTTTTGACTCATTTTCAGTACTCCCATTAGCCACATTTTCAGCCCCAGCAGCCAGCTAATTTCACTAAAGGAACACACATTGTTCAGTTCAATGTGAGTGTGTGAGCCAGCCAAACAGACATCAGCTACACTACTGTATGTCAGCAGCAACGTAAAAGACCGACAAGAGAGTTTTTGTCGCCAGGAGGTCGTAAATATCTTTAGTAGCAGGTTTTAGAGCAGGAAACAGAGTCAAACAATGTCTTGTGTTACAGGTCGTGTGTGTTGATACCAATACATCCATAACACGTTTCTGATCTGGCTGTAAACCAATAAATATTGAATACCTGTTGGCTCAAATATTTACTTACTACTCGTAAAAACTGCATTTTTTTTATTATTATTTCACTTAAAAAAATAACTACAGGAAAAATAATTCTTAACAAAAAGTAGTTTACAGAACGTGGTGTGGGCGGTGGGTCAGTTGTTTATGGTTTTGTGTTGGTTTGTTCCTAGAATATCCTGGTCTCCTGGTGTGTCTCAGTGTCTCTCAAGCTGTACCTGCAGTGAGGGGGTGGAAGGAGGGTGGGGAACAGAAACTGTGATAATGTAGTAATGCATTAACCATAGACTTGAACAGTGCTACAGTATATGTGTGAGTGCAGAGCATTAACAATTTATTCATTCATGACAAGGGCAATCTTTTTGCTCTGTTTCATTGAAAGTTGTAGGAACCCCTTCTCCAAGTCGGTGGGCTCTAATCTTGATGGAAATGTTTATTTTTGAAAAATAATTCAGATTATTGGCTGTTAAGAATGTTCTCTTTAGTCAAAATTCAAAGAAAAAAAGTTAGGGTCCAGGATAAGATCACAGATTAACAATGTTTCTAAAAATAAGTGTTTGAACCCTGAAGTTGTATTGTATTATTTAGGTGTAATTTCTTTGCAAGTTTTCTTGTCCCGTTCTGCTGTGTTGTTGCCAACTCCAACTTAGGCTCTGTTTATGCACAGCTGCGATGCAATACATCTACAGCTGCTTCAGCGTTTAAACAGAGCCGCTGAATACAAATCCAGTCCTTGTAGTGCATATGGCAGGCCTGCGTTTGGCGCAGGATGACTGGGTGCAAAGACCAGGTACATACTGTGTTTACCAACACAACCCTGATTTCCTACACACTAGCCCTTTAAATATACCACTAATCTTTGGAATCTGTTTGATTGGAAATGTTGTTGCCTTGAAGTTGAATTTGACCAAAGGGACAGTGTTGGGGATGAGGGGAAAGTCTGTTGTCAAGATAAGCTAAGCTGGTGTTAATGATTCAGAGATAAACTTTAGTGGAAAGCATGCACTCGGAGACAAGACTGAAGGGATTCAAAGAAAAGAACAACACTGTGCTGGTTAAACAAAAACTAACAGGTCTTTTTAAAGGGTGGAGACCGTTTGAGGTTTGATGGCTGTGGATACAAAAACCTTTACTGTATTGTAGGATCTGAACAGTAATGGCAGCTGCTCGATGTTCCAACCCAGGTACACTCAGCCCAGACCTGTGCCATATACACTGATGTAAAGCTGATGAAAATTTTGACAGTGTAAAGAACAAAGGAAAATAATTCACCTGACTATCAACACTCCAGTCTGTACACCAACAGATTTTAAGCCTCTTTAATAAAAACCTGAATCTGTTCTTTGAATGTATTAAAAGCATCATCACTAAAAGATGCCGGATGATGACATGACTGTGAAAACTGTGTTTGATCCAGTCATTACCATTCTTTTACCTGCGTCTTTGTGTGTGTGTGTGTGTGTTGTTTTCACACAGGTATGAGGCAAATGAACGACCGTGGCACACAGTATCGTTCAGCCATTTACACATCAAACTCCACCCAGCTGGAGCTTGCAGTGAAGAGTAAAGTGGTCTACCAGCAGGTACATTCCCCCTACTCAACATCACACCAAACCTGTTTAGACCAGGTATTAACACTTGTCCTCAGTGATGGGATAACGCCTATTAAGTAGAGATCAGAAGGCTCCCAGTGCGTCCTCAGTGGCTTGATCACAGACAGTGGATTCAAAGATGATTGGGGCACACGTGGTCTCATTTATGATCACGCATCAAAGCAATCTGTCCCTGCAATGAATAACAACCTGCTACCTAAGCTAATGTCACCTGACCCTACAGAGAGGGGTGCTCCACTGATGTTCCCCTACAGCTTCTGTTTCATCTCCTCTGTCAGTTACAAATCTGACAATATAGGCCGAAAAAAAACAACGTACAAATGGGTAGAAAATGCCCAAACAGCTAAGAATTAGCTACCGGTATAACAAGGGTGTGAAGTGTAAAACATAAGGACAAAGTTCAGCTAGACATATGGCAAAGATATCCAACAGTTTAACTCAAAAATAGCCTAACAGAAAAAAATTGAAAAAGTTCAATAAATTATGCAAATTTCCCCCAAAAAAATTGACCTAGAAATGATCCTAAGGTTAAAGATAATCACAATATCATATTCTTAAGTGTTTACAAGTAAATATTATCGTATCATTGACTAACATTTTGCCATAAATATTGTTAGTTTTTAGGCTAATTTGGCCAGGGATGTAGTTAAAATTAACCACAATAGTAGCTAATTTGCTACATTTTTACAAAAATATCTCAGAAAAAGCTAGTGGTTAGTTCTTAAGTAAAAATATGAAAAAAAGACTAAAATTGGTCGTACTGAAAAAAGCTAAAATTGAGCCAAAGGTGACAAAAATGTTTTTAATATTGCCTTATGTCTGTCTAAAAATTGCTGAATTTTTTTTTTATTTTTGCCGTTACACTGGGCAGAGCTTGTGCGTGTGTGTGTTTGTTGTCACAGTGATTTGAATAATAAACCCGTGTGTGTAGTGGCGACCTCTCAGCCTTAGCCTGTGTTTAGTTAAACAAACCTCCTCTGCTGTTGATCTTCATCTCCACCTAATCTCTACACCCTGTCTTTGAACAGTAGAGAGAAAGAGGGTCCACAGGTCATCAAAACTCATTTCTACACCCCTGTCCTTCAGTGGCACACGCGTCCTGCCTTTGTCCTCCATCCATCTGTGGGTCCATCTATCCATCCATCCATCCAGCCGTTGATCCCTCCGTCAGTTTGCTGAACTAATGTCCCTGCCCTCTCTTTAAACAGCATTCATGGACAAGCTGGTGGGGGGGGCAAAGGGCAGAAAATTATCATTGTCATGGTAACTTAGGAGACCGGGGGTCAGATGTCACAGGCACCTCTGCCCATGTTGCCATGACAGCAACATCCCAACCTTGGCCTTGGGCTTGGGTTAGAGGTCAGAGCGAAGTGGCAGCTGGGAGCAGGAAGATGGAGGAGGGAGAGAGGGGGGAGTTAAAGAGAGTGGTGGAAATCAGATCAAAGAGCAATGACTGACAGGTTATCAACCGACACACACACACACACAGTTTTTTGTGTTTTGTGAGCACTTCATATAGACAACTCACATCCTAACCTCAATTACAAATATATGGTTCATCTTAATCCTTATTATATGCTCTCATTCACTTTCATTCACTAGAACTTCACCCCCAAAAAATGTCCTCACCGGTATAGCTGCACCAGAAACACACACGCACACAGAGATGAAATGGATACATCCTGAATACAGCTGGATTTGTTGTCAGAATATATTAACTTATTTACTTCAAAAACAGGAGGAAAAACTTTTTTATTTCCTTTCAAATCTCCTGACATTGAAAACAGTTGACATAACAATCTCACCTCGCCCTCCCTGTGTCTGCCGAACCAATTTGGTGTTCAAATTTACATATTTCTTCTACACACTGTTAACATCATCTCATCCATTTTCTCCGTAAATTAGAGTCTCGCAATCTTTCCCTGACCTTGTAAACCTTGTTGACAGAATGAGTCGAACCTGTAACAGCTTAATTATGGCAACAGGGAAAAAACACAGTCATTTTAAAAGTCATTGTATCCTGATTTATTTATACTGTTATTGTTCTTTTTTTTAAACAGGAAGAAGCTCATACTGTGCCAAATACTGCATGTGGTTATTCAATTCCCCAAACGCTGACATTCTATTTTAAGCATTCATTTGCAAGTGTTTGCTGCGAGCTACAAACATTAAGAAATGCCAAGAAAAATTACATGATTTCACTGCTGCATAAATATGCAAATAAAACGGGTGTAAACAAGAAAACAAGCGGAGGGTTCATTTAGTTTTCTAGCGCAAAACTGAAGCAAAAATATCATTTTTACAGTTTGAATCCAGTATATCCAGAAGAGAGTGTCCAGGATTATTCCTCCCTTTCTTCCATCCTCCCTTCCCACAGTCCTTCCTTTTTCCCAGCAGCTTTGCTGACACCACTGATCTGTCAGCGACTTCAGTGGTACCTCAGTTTCTTCTGGAGGCCGCTGGGACACATTCTGTCCTAAAGCAGCTGACACACACACACTGAACCAAAATGGCAGCTTCCTGTGAAATGGCCGTTTTGCTTCATACATGCTGAGTCTAACAAAAGTCTGGAGTGGAAATTAAAAACTTTTTTTTATTACCGTGTTGCTATTTTAACGTAAGGTTTGGTTCAATTTAGTTTTTATGCTAGGACTTATCTAGGTTCTTACATACATATATATACACAGTCTATTTTGTTAGATAACTTATCTAGGTTCTTATATACACATATATATATACACAGTCTATTTTGTTAGATTTCATTTTATGTTTAAAATTTAATTATGTAATTTATTTCCATTGTTCCTTTGTGCTAAGTACAATTTAAGAGAAAATCTTAACTTAATCTTAAAAAATTCAGGGATATCTGGCTAACTTATATCTTGCCACGCATACTTTTTTTTAGGTAATTTCTCTTCTTTTTTACCTTGTAAAAAATCTAAAGAGTTTTTTGCCTTCTTGGCTTAAATTTCCACCATTTCTTTATTCATATTTTCCTTTTATGTTATAATTTTTGAGAAAACGTCTTAAAAACTCACCCGTTTTAGCCATTTCTAGGATAATTTAACGGCACCATTTTAATTGAACAGCTCCCTTTTGCCATCCCGCCTGCACTCCCCCCCATACTGCCCCCTATCTGCCCTGCAAGCATTTGTTTACAGTTGCCAACACTGGGAAACAAGAAGGACTCTTCTTCAATTTGTATACAATAGACCTGAATGAGAAAAAAATTACAGTAAAAACCACATTTCTTTTTACCACTGGCAGCCATCTTGGCTTTGATTGTAGGAACTTCTCTGTTCCAATATGCAGGGTGGTGACCTTTCTACTCATAAATCTGGGTCATGTCTGGGTACAGTGGCTTTGAATAGTCCAAATGTGCTACTAGACTCTTTATGCTCCTAGAGTAACTGACAAACTCCAAACCAAAATGGCCGCCTGCTGTCCCGAAATGGCCGCTATGCTTTATTAACGCTGAGTTCTTAAGAACATCTGGTGTGAACATTTGAGGCAGGGTTTTCGAGGCCTGTCTGAGCCCCTGGGATCGTGTATGTGTTCATCCCGTCTCTGTGTGTGTGCGTGGGTGTGTGTGTGTGCTCGTTTTGTTACCTATATGCAGTAGGGTTATTTCTGGCACCATTATTGATGTTTTTAGGACCCGTAGTCCTACTGGGGACCAACACTTTGTTCCTAATGAGGCAAACATGTCATTTCTGGGCTCTGGTAAAATTTAGGATGAGAATGTGAATTGTAGTTGGGTTAAGTGTTTCTGGTAAGGGTTTCAGAAAGGGCTCCGTTAGGGCTGCACAAGAGGGGAATAAAAGGAGTCGATTATCTCCAAAAGAAATATCTGCGTGAACCCATGACTCTGGTTTTGCCAAGGTGGCAACCAACGATTCACATGTGCACATTCACTGACTTGACATAGGAACACACTCACAGACATAGGTTTGGCACATCCATGCGGCACGATGAATAATTAACCCAAACCAAGAGTCTCTTCTGCAGGGCTTTCAGTTTCTTAACTTCAGCACTGGAGATGGAGGGGAGGCAGGGTGGGACAGGGGGGAGGCAAGGCAAGGCAGAAAAGCTTGTTTAAGCGCTGGAAAGAGAGGGAGCAGGGAGGAGGGGTGAGGAGGAGAGGGGAGTTCGCTATAATGAAATTTGAAATTTGCAGAACATCAAAGGCTTCTGTAGCCGAGCCTCTGTGGCAGCGAGGAGCAGAGAGGAGGAGGAGGAGGAGGAGGAGGAGGAGAGCATCTCTTTCCTCTCCTTCTGTCTACCCCATCTCTCACTCACTTTCTCTTTTACCCCTTTTTCTCTGCTAAAATATGTCTCTACAGAGCTGAGTGGGGGTGAGAAAAGAATGGGAGTTGGGAGTTGATTAAGCGGAGGGTGGGGGTGGGTCAGAGATTGGTTGGATTTGGAGGAGCGAAAAAAACCGAGAGAACGGGTTCAGAGAGAGTGTTTGTGTGTGCGTGTGTGTGTTGGTGCATGTATGGAACAATAGGTTTTATCAGTCCAGCTTGAATATTTAGTCTGTGTGTCTCACACATACACGTGTGTCGGGCCTTGGAGGCTGAGTGTGTCCTCTGATAAGGCATCCTCACTTAATGAGCTTTAAAAAGGGGGGTGGAGGGGAAATGCAGGGGTTTGGATGATGGGTGGTTAAAAAAAAAAAAAAAACACGAGTATCATCCAGGACAAGAGGAGTGTCTTGAGGAGAAGCCCTGAGCTTCTTGAAAACAAGCGTTGGCATCAGCAGCTTCTGTAACTGAGCCTGAAGCTCACGTGTTTTATTTTGGAAAGTCAGATCTGCAGTTGCAGCTGTTTAGCTCTCACATATTACATTCTTTCAATTCTGCTCTTTAATTATTCAGTTTTTGTTTAACCACTACAAACTTTACTGGTTCAGGGCTTTTTGTGTATCTTTTTGGGTGACATTGCTACTTCTGCTTTGATTAAGGCTGTTTTGACTTTTTCTGATCATATTTTCTGTCTACATTTCAGCTTGCTTTAATCTATGGCTAGTTTTGACTAACGACATATTTGAAATGTTTTTGCAACAGCTCAGCTAGAATATCCATGTTTTGGCTTTGTTTCACCTTTTTGCCTAATCGTTTTTTTATTCTTTATGATGAATGATTTTTTTTTTTGCTATTCCAGACCTATGTCTCAGCTGGAAATATCTCAGCCCTCTCTGATTCCTCAGTAACTATTTTGACATAGTTTTAATAAGTAGTTACAAGTAATTTACCTGTCTTTGTTACTACTTTTTATCTAATTTAGTAGCCTTAGGTTGTGTCTATATTTCTGCCTGTCCGTACATTATTTTAAACTATGTTAAGTCTAATGTTAGTGTTTTGCTTTTGGAGTTATATTTGAATTTAAGGTTGGATTTTGGTCCCTTTTTAAAAACTCTTTGTTAACTTTTCTCTATTTTTTTCTGTATTTTTTTTGCCTGATTTTTAACCCACCTTAAACATTTTTTTCCTTACATATGTATTAACTTTAGCCCTCACCCTACCAGTCCTGCATTTGAAAACCAACAAATAAAATATATAGATAGCTTTGACACTCAATATATTTAGCAATATATATATATATCTATATTTTAGGTAGGTTGACCTTATTTATATAATTAAGATTCCTATATTTTAGGTAAGTTGACCTTATTTATATAATTAAGATTCCATTAAACCAAACTTTTGACCAGGTGTAAGATGATTTAAGTTTCTTAGGGGCCATTTTTTGTAAACATTTAGATTCTTCTATTTTCCACTACAGTTTCTCTGTTTCTTTGCTGGATAAAGAATTGAGCTGCTTCTTATTCAAACCTACCATTTATACCAACGGCCCTAATACTCAAAAAGTGTTGTTTTATTCCTATGTTTTAATATTGCGTGTCCCATTTCTGCTTGATGTTTTAAATCTTAACTTTTCTAGTTACGAAAAAGTCGATTTTGGATAATCACTGCAATTGGGGAGAAAACTGCAGTGACAGAGGTGAGAAAACATGTTAAACCAGCAAATCATACAGCATTATGAGAAGTGCAGCAGTGCGTGACTGCGTAAATGGCAGAATTGAGGTCACGTTAGTCTTCAGACGTCGTCACTGTGAGTCATCGGGTGTCACAAAGTCTGTATTCCTTCCCCTCCACTCTGCAGTCGTTGGCCCTGTTATAACTGTAGGTAAAACACACATTAAGGAGGAGGAGTGAGCGCACACTTCTACCCTGCCTTCTCCACCTCCTCCATCCCCTCTTTCTGTGTGTCACATCCTATTTGTGTTCCAGGGTCGAGTCTGTGGTGATGGTCATGGTAAGAGGGGCCTTCACCCTCTCTCTCTCTCTCTCTCTCTCTTTCTCTCTCTCTCTCTCTCGCTTGGCTGGAGAGCAGGGACAAGTTGGAAGCAGGAATACATCGTCTGTGTTCACATGGGAGAAAGAGAGGGTGAAAAAAAGAGAGGGATGAAGTCATTCAGCCATGTCTTTGACAGGGAAGACTTTTCGACAGGCAAGAAGAAAGAAAAAAGAAAGTCAAAATACACACACACACATTCAAACACAAACACGGGATTTCAGGAGGACATCAGCTTAATTTGTATCATAAAGTAAGGGATAAAAGTTCTTCTATTTTTTTTTTTTTACAATTGTTCATCTTCTATCGCCTTATCAGTTGTGGGTTTTGGGAATGGGGGAGGAATGGGGGAGGTAGAGCCAATCCCAGCAGTCCAGCGAGGACAGTGTTACACCCTGGACAGTCCTCCAGACCATCACAGGGTAAACAATTATTCACAGCCGTACATTCATAGTTACGGTCAGTTTAGAGTGGACAAACTTTTAGGCAGGGGCACTGACCACTCATCCATCGTGTGGCCCTAAAATCTCATAATAATCCCTTTAATTTCCTCCCCTTTTACCAGAGTGTCAGTTCCAGATGCAGTGAAGCCTCTCCACATCAGTATTCTCCCACCTCTGTGTTTTCCTAATGCCACATCGCTCTCTCTTCCTATCTCAAACAAACTACAGGCAGAGTTTTATTTTTGTCACGTTGACCAGAAACAGTATTTTTCGTGTCTGTGTTTGCCCTTTTCCATGTTGTCCAAACGGACTTCAGTCTGACTTGAAGCAGAAGTGATGTTTGTCTTGGTTTTTAACCTCACACTGCGTTCTTGGGCAAGATTCTATCAGTTTTGTTTTATATCCTGAATGTTATTTTTCAGTCTTTAGACGCATGTTTCTTTTTCTTTTATTTTCTAGTGAATTTCACACCCCTTGTTTGGCACTTTTGTCAGTTTTCCTCAGTAAAAATGTGGTTCTCTTTGAACGTCTTGGTAACGTTTGTCTCTCATCTTGAGAATGTCTTAATAACCTTGCATGTCCTTCTTTTTGTGAGCATCAACAATTCCTTTTCACAGTCCTACGTTTTTTTTTTTTTTCTTTTTGCAAGGATTTTCTGACAAGTGACAGCTCAAACTCTTAACTGAGTTTTCATATGGATTGTAAATGTGAAAGAAAAAACTTCAGTGTTAACGTCAGAGTTTTTGGAATAGGGTGAAACACTGACTTTCAGGATCATTTTTGAACCAGTTATTTTAGGGCTTTTGTGAGGCTAAAAAGAAGACCATTAGCTTCCCCCCAAAAAAACATTATCGCTGCTGTCTCGGTGTAAAAGGAGCTGGCATATATAGAAAAAATCAAGAATTTTGTTTTCACAATTATGTCCCCAACTGAAAAGCTGAACATCCTTATTGAATAATGCATGTACCCCTGGTACATTTCCTTCAGTTTCACTCCATTCATGCCAACACTCGTCTTAAGGTTGTTGTTTTTTTTTTTAATTTGCCCTCTTCATCTTAGCCATTTTACCCTCCACAAATCCTCCCTTCGTTCTATCACTGCTGCTGCTGCTGCTGCTGCTGCTGCTGCAGTAGTGTGGGAGCGAAACAGAGAGAGCAAAGCCACGTAAGGTTATACACAGCGGCGTGACGCCGTGCATTCTGATTTATAGATCTAAAATGGCCGCCATGTTGTGACTGCTGCTGTAGGGAGCAGGGTGGAGAGTGAGGGGAGTGGTGCGGGGGAGTACAGTGTATACCAGATTTGAATGGCAGACCTTTTTCCTGGTTGTGTGTTTGTGTCACGTGAAGCGCTCCAAGCCCTGGAGGCTTCGCTGCTACAATAGTTTTCTTATGATGACTAATTAGGCCATGAGGTGCACACTGTCTGTGGGCTTTCTAATATACACCAGCAGAAGGTCTGTGTGACTGTTTTTATACAGCCTAATGTGTCAGTCAGTGTAGTACATTTGCTGCTCCGTGTTCCGGGCTTCACCACATCATGCTGTGCTTCGTGGACACTGGTTCCTTCCTGCGGGGGAACCAGAGTCCTCTACACCGTAGCAGCAGCCGCTGAGGACTTAGAGGTCAGCTGCTGCCTCTGCCTCTGTGTGGGACACGGTTTTGATTTACTGACTCCACTGCATCACCCCCAGCTAAGGCACACACAGACACAGCTGGTATCATACTGCCTTCATGTGGACAAAAGGACACATTACCCCTTTCCGTTCCCTAACACGATGTCCTTGTTTTACGTAACATTTTGGACACAGCGTGCCACCGGTTGTTTATCTAAAATATATATGCTTCATTTAAGTGGTAAATATGTAACCATGCTTCTTTAAGTCACACAAACCCGTTATTAAGTTTCATGGGCTTTGTTCTAGTCAAAACTCATTGTTTGTAAGGAAAAAACTCAAGGTAAATGTATGTAATGCATTAATTACTAGAAACTATCCAAATGACAGTTTAAAAAAAAAGAGAAGAATTTCCAAAATTCTAAAGAATGTTGACTGTGAAACAGCTGCAACGTTGACATTAGAGCTAAATGTTGTTGTTGCGTATGTGAATGTCACAGCTTGAATAAAGAAAGTAGCAGTTTGAAGATTTGAAAAGCTAAAGTTCAAGCTAAGCCATAGCATTGTTAGCATCAGTTTTCAGAGGATTGTTTTGGCAGGTTGAACCAGGGCTTAGTTAAATAATACACGTGTTTATTGTGATTCTACTGCTCTCTGCCAGAACACACCTCAGGTACCCACTGTTCAGACCTTCAGTGAGCTACGTGCAACCTATTTGTTGCCCACAGAACGTCCTCAGAGCAACTCCAGCATGTTGTGCTGTCAGCTCTCTGGAGCATTCATCTACAGAGGATTGAGTGTTTGTATTATTATACAGAGGAAACCACTGGGCACAGCAAGGAAACCTTTGATATATCTGTCAGGTCTTTACACCTACAGTGATCCAGGGTTAGCTGCTCTTCTGCTGTGTTTGATGCCTCCTCCTGGAGACGTTTAGAGGAAAGTCTGAAAGAGTAAAAGTATCTGAAGGAGTTCTTAAAAGAGTGCCTGTATTCTTTTATGCTATGTCCCACCGAGGGCCAATGAGACAAGCTACACTACAGAGACAGTGCAGTATATGAATATATATGTGTTTCTTTCTTCTGTCACGCCATCACCTGGAGTTCTAGGTGCAGAGCAGGAGCATTCCAGTTTTCTACTGAGAGATGTACTGTATAGGATCATGAAGCAGATTCCAGACAGGAAAATACAAACTGCATTTCAAGGAAAAAACAATTGCAGTAAAACCTAAAGTCTGTCTTTGAGTTGTGTACTTGAATCTTTATTTAACCGGCAAAGAAATGACTTTTAGTATTTTAAACATTAAAAAAATAATCATTTAAAAATATTGAATACTTTTTTAATCAACAGAATATTTTACCCCCTGCAGAACCCCAGTGGAGCCCCCCAGAGTCTTTTCTTATGTAGAAATAACAGTGAAGAATTTGGAATTGTTTTACATAAATCGAATTGAAAATTGATTGATTTAAATGAATACCTGCTGTTATTAATGAGCACATGAGTGGTCTTTATTTTAATGTTTCCTTTTAATATTCCTAGGAGTTGGATAAAAGTGGCTACGGCCGCATCACTACGGAAATCCTTGAAGGCCAGCACTTCTTCTACGCTGAGGACTTTCACCAGCAGTACTTGAAGAAAGTTCCTATCCGCCATTGTGCTGTGAAAGGTACTGGTGTCAAGTGTCCCGTTGGAGCCAGAACGACAGAAGCCTCATAGGAAAAGGTGAAACTAAATCAGTTTATGGCATATTTGTTTATTTATACACGTCAACCCTGTTGATTATTTTCTTTGTGACATACAGTAACATAGAGCAAAATATGTGTGGTATGTATTCAATATATATAGTACACATACATATGTGTCGCCGTATCTTTGCGTCCGCCAGGTGGTGCCATTTATCACTAAATCACTGAAGCCGCGAAACACGTTAAAGTCGACATAGCAACGTAAGAACATAAAAGCATCAGTTTGATAGAGTTTATTGTCAGTAATTCTCATATTTGCTGGAACACTGACAGACTTCAGACGATACGTATTTAGGACACATTGTATTTGTATTTTATTCATCATGATGTTTATTGAAGCTGAGCTCTTTTTTTCAGTTTGATAACAGTAGGTAAGGGACAGGCTAATATGAGTCATTGTGGCAAACAGACACACATTCAGAAACTACTCACACTGAATGTAAATGACACACTCCAGCCACTCATGTGTGCAATATGAAGCTCACTTAAACTCTCACATTACTCCCACCCAGCCTATAATTATGAATAAAAGTCCCATTTAACATCATATAATTATATGTCACACAGAACCCGTCGTTTACAGAATCAGCTTTCATTACAATGAAACACATGAAACAAAAACCTTTAAAGGCACTCAGATATGAAAATAACGTGAAGTTTTGACTCCAAAACATGGAGATTATATCTGGAGTGAAAAAAAAAAAAAGCTTTTTGGTCGACCGCAGTTGTGTGATTCACCACGCTCTTGTTTTCCCCCTCCCTCTCTTCTGTCTCTCTTTCTCTCTGTGTCTGTGTCTGTGTGTGTGTGTGTGTCACATCCTGACACCTGTGTGTAGGTGTGGACCGGGGCACAGGTGCAGGTGCAACCTCTGAGGGCCTATTTTAATATTGGGACAGATATTTTTGCATGTGCCTGCGTGCAGTGTGTGCGTGTGCGTGTGTCTCTCTGTGTGTATGTGTGTCATGTGTAAAGTTGTGGCTTGCTTGATGGAACCGCGTTGAGCGGTGTGTGGTTGTGTCAGCTAGCTGTTTTCTAGACCTGCTGTCATTTTTTGCAGGCTGTTGTTTTTGACATGTGCATGAAAAGATAAGCTTTTCATGAAGTGATTTTTATTTCCTGATGGCTTGAAACACAAAAGACATATAACAGCTGGGTTTTGTTTCATTCAACACCTGAGAGCTAACGCCTCCCATGACACTAAGTCCTAAACCAAACCCAGGCTCGAGCTAAAAATGACTTAACTTGTTTTTAACGTTGAAATGATTGATGATTGAAAGTCTAAATTACCTAAAGGATGACTAGGAATTTGTTCCTATTTACCATCATAGTACTAACTTCCTGCTAGCAAAAAATAGCATAACATTAGTACAGAAAATTGATAAAGAGAACTTAAGCTTAGGGTCAAAACAGCTAAATAAACTGTTTCCAAATGGTTGGTAAATCCGTATTAAAATTACTGTCGTAATGGTTGGTAAATCCGTATTAAAATTAGCAATGTATTTGTTCAAACAAAATTAAGTACATGCATAAAACTAGCATAAATGTAGCCTGAGACAGTTTAGGAAAAGCGAACTATGTATACCTTAGGTGATCGCAAGACTTTATAAATAAATGTATAATAATTGAATGCTAGGACAGTGCATTTGACAATTATTTAATAAACTTAGCTCAAAGTAGCATCAGTCCGTATCATCTAAATAAAAAATAGGCAAGAAATGTATCCAAGACATTGACTTAAGTACTCCAGGTCGGCCAAAGATGGTAAAACTGTGGGCTAGATATGGCTAAATAAGCTAATAATCAAAGCTGGCCTGAACTCTAATCAAACCCTCAGGTAATTGTGGCCATGATTGGACCCGAGGTCAGACTTCTGCATCAACATTCCTGTTGTGACAGAGTAAGTGCAGTAAAATAGTCAACATGTTCCTCTGAGCGGCCCTGTCTTTTCTTTGTGACTGATCTCAGGTCAGTAGGAAGCTCTGCTGTGAGATATGAACTCTTTGTTACCAGCTGTGGAGCCACTAAAGGCCCCTCAGCAAACAATAGTGTAGGTCCGGTGGGCATACTAGTCCTGCATTGAGGCTTGTTCTGCTTCAGTGTTTGTGTATGCATGCGTACATGAGAGGACCCTTCAATTCAATGGCTACAGTTTCATCCAGTGCAAAGATGTACAAAGAAAATGCTTTTATACTCATGTAGCTCAGAGGGGTTCTGCTATAATGGAGACAGAGGTCTGTAAATCCTTTTTACTGAACTATGGTTGAAATGAACAGGACATGTCCAAGAATAAGGCCTGGGGCCATATAATTGGCTTCTCCATGTTATTATATTCTGTATCTTAGAAATCAAAATGTACTCCTGCTGGTCAGATTTGAGTATTACACTAAGTTGTTTTGAAACTTTGTCTCATTCAATTTTGTTTTTCCTAATGTTTAGCTCTTTGTGGCCTAATACCTAGCAACTAATTTAATACATTTTTGAATATCTTTTGACTGCATTCTGACTAACAAAGTAAGTGTTTTCTTAACTGATGGGTAATTGACTTAAGAATTATCTATTTTGGGCTAGCTATTTATTAGCTATTAGCTATTTTAGCTAGTTTCATTTTTGCTACGTTTGGGCTGTACATTTATCTGTTTTGACTTAACGTTTACATGTTCTAATGTTTAGTCACGTTATACTGTGTTTAGTTTTATTTGGTTAACATTTAACATCTGTCTTTCAGGTAAATCAACCTTTGCCACTACTTGTGAATATGTTCTTGGCTTTTTTCAGCTCCTTTGGTTGGCTATTTATTTATTAACATTTTAGTTGTTTTTTTAAAGTCTAGCCTTTTTCTGTGATTTTGTACTTTTTTGGGTCAAACTTTTGTTATCAGTCAGCTATTTATATTTGTGTTGTTTAAATAGACAATATAATAAAATTAATATATTAATTTATTTATCACCCAATTTAAAAATAATCTATCTTCCAGGTATCTTTTGTGTATTTGTTGACCCCACTCTTTTGTTTTGTTTTTTTGGCACAGCAGGAGCATTTGCCCCATAAGTTTATATCATTACCAGATATTGCCCCACTAAAGGTTTGGACCCTGTGCTCCAACTTGCACCTTTTATGAAATACTGTTTGTCTCATATTCATCTGAGATATTAGAGACTAGTCTGTCAACATACTCATGAACATAGGGAACGTTAGAGTTATAGAAACGTGTGATGTGGTTCAGGATTTCTATGAAACAGGGAGGTGCTGTGTTTATCAAAAGTGTTCTGCACTTATACCCAAATATGTTCACACACACACACAAACACACACACCAACGCAGACACATACAACCACTCTGTGTTGGCCCTGTACCGCTGCCTAATGCAGCAGGTATCGCCCACGCAACAGAAACAAACCCTCCTAAAAGACACCTTGCAGAGACGTGCACCCACACAGATTTCGTGCACTCTGATCTGTTCTCTGTTGTGTCCTCCTTTCACAGCTTTTCATTTTTCTTCCCCAGTGACAGCTCCAATACATCTTACACTGTATGTGTATATACTGTACTATACCATTGGGCCACTGAAAGCAGCTTTGTGTTATTCTTCTTAAGATGCAGCGAAAACAATTTGTTTTTTGTATTTTTTTGTGAGACACCAACGTAGCATTGTTCGGTGCGCTTTAAAAATAGAGCAACAGCAGAGTGGTATCCTCTGGTGCTGTCCTCCCAGCTGGAGACGTGGTGTGTCTTCTTGTCCCGCTCCTCCTGTAATTAGTTATCTGCACTGTAGCAGAAACAGAAATGAAGTTCTGTATGTCTACGGCCGTGTGTAACTTCTGCAGATGTTTACAGTGGGTATAAAAAGTCTACGTGTCATATTTTTAGGTTGAGACGTTGGTCAGATGTCTCGGCAGTTTTTGTCTTATTTACACTGTACCTGTGTTTTTCAACCTTAGGGTCAAGACCCCAAGTAGGGCCAGCTGGTATTCAAATGGTGTCGATGTAAATGTCTAGTAATTTTAGAAAAAGCATTATTGATAAAAATATGTTTTACACCAATTATCATTCTTTTTAAAATTTTAAACATCTTTAACAACTCTATTTCCTCTCTCTCGTGAACATGAATCAAGTTCAAAGAAAATGCAGCATATAGAAAATATCTGAGCTGGTTCATCTTGATTGACAGCTGCTGTGACATGCCTAAAACAAAAATGTCTCGGAGGTCGCTAGAAATGTGTGATGTCAAAATATGGTCACAAGCCAAAAAAGGTGGGAAACCACTGCTGTAGCCCTCGCTTTATAAGACTTTAAAGAATTCATGTCCAAGTTTAGCCAAAGTGAGATATACAGTATAGATCTCTGTTATGTCGTGTTGCTTAATGACTCTGTTGTGCTTCACTTCCTCGTCATGACAACTCTCTAACTGTATCCCCTGTATTTCCAGTAGTAAAGTTTTTGAGTGTAATTTGAGATGTAAAAAGTTCCCACGTTTTTATTTCCTTCTTAAATATCACAGATCTCCGGCATCTTTAAAGCGGACGAAGCCGACTTTGCCTTCCTGTATGGTGCATACTTTTCTCACATGATATGGGAGTTGTGTTCAGGGTTTTTTTTTTTCCTACAGATGCCAGATGTGTTTGCGTACCCTCCCCAGCTCTGCCCTCTCTTCCCTCCCCTCCCTCTGGTTCCTGCATGGACGCAGGGTCTCAATCAGAGCATCATGGCTCCAGGAACCGGAGCACAGCAATGTCTCTGTGCTGCCCAGAGAAGTGCAGCCTTGTCTGGGTCAGTGCATCTGCGGCCTGGGGGAGAGTTGGGGGTAGAGCGTGAACCCTGGTGCCCTTGCGTACTGGTTTCACTCAAGGTCAGTTGTCCGGCAGCACAGATTGACCCTTGAAATCTGCACAGAGAGCGAGAGGAAGATAGAGAGATAAGGGCTTTTCAAATACAGTAGATCTGCAAACAGTCAGAGAATTCTCTCAGCCGTGCACACTGAAATATATCCTCCGTCACAAAGTTTGCTTTTTAAAACAATAAATTGATAATTGTGCACATCCTGCACACAAATACATTCTTTAAAGAAAAGATTGTCAGGAGCTTATTCTTCTTTCTGCTGGGAATAGTGACTGGTTGG